ATAAGAAATTAGTTGGCTGAGTTTTATTTTGAGACCTGAAAGGAGAAAACATTAATCTGTACATGAAAGAAGACATTTTTTGGCTTGTCCCATTGGCGAATGTTCTTGAACCAAGATAAAACTAATTGAGTCAAGAATTGTATGTCTTATATTTGATACGTTTTTCAGTGAACATGCACTGAGGGCCAGATTATATTGTTTAGAGAGCCTGATTTGGCCCCCGGACCAAAATTTGACAATTTCTCTCTTTGTGAGAATGGTACAACTCAAAAACCCAGAGGGAGAACTGGCACATAGGGATCCTGCTGCCCTAATCTCACACCCCATATAGTTAGTGTTTACTTAATTAAATGTGACGTGAGAGTAATGTCAGTGATGTTGTTGAAACTGTTAGATTTTGTTACATGTTGTGGTTTCAACACAATTTTGCAGTAATGTCGACAATGAAAAAATCTGTACCATGAAGTGATACCAAAACAAGCCTCATGAAAATAGCCTCGGCCATGTCCCTGCTGCTGCTGCTGCTGCTGCTGCCGCTGCTGCTGCTGTTTTGGCAGACTCCCCTCATTATGTGCATATAGAACCAGCCCTTGTCCTCTCAGCACACAACAGTCTCATGGCTCTTTGACTGACAGGGGAAGAGAAGATTGATGGAGTCCTGTCCTGATCACTTTCAGATGACCCCTTTGGCTAATGGGATTATAGTGCTGCCTGCCCCATGTCAGACAATAACAAAGAGCACAAGTCATGTGAGGTGGCGGGAACAAGCTTGTGCTGACATTTGCCATGTCAATACCTAGATTATCAGCGGGAAATAAACACAATTAGAATGTTTTAAATGTGATTGCTTTCAGAAAATATTCAAGAAACCAATTATTCATAATTTATTCAAAATAGTTGCATCATAGCGTTCCGGTTTAGCAGCGGTCATAGCATCTCGGTATCTTTAGAGCTGTGGGAGCAAAAGTAGTTTAGATTTAAAGCTGGGGAACCTAGCTTTTTGATTCATAAATACCAGTAAGAGAATCAGACCCCAATATGTTATCTTCATCATATTAAAAAAAACATTACAACTTTTGAATGAGGCCCTTTGTGTCACTTTTCACACTTTGGGCTGAAAATTAATTGGTTGAGTCAGTACTGTCATTTTTACTTTTCTGTTTGAGAAAAGAGGATCTGGGCTGGTGCTCTGTGTACTGGGTGCAGCCCTGACCCCCCGACCCAGTTATGGATTAAGGGGAAGAAAATGAATGGATGGATGGAAAAGAGAATCTAAAAATGTGACCGAGGCCAAAACATTCATGCATGGAAAAAAAGAGACAAACTGTTTTAGAGCAAGGAACTAGTTACAGTACATGGTTTAGATGAGTTCCATTGTGGTTTGAAAGTTACATACCCTAGCTTTAAGAATGTATGTTCATAATAACGGCCTGATTTCAGATGGATTGCAAAGACTTATAAACAAAATTACTACAGTTTTTTTAGCAAGAAATTTTCACCATTTGAGACGATCTCCACAGACATTTAGCACATTTTCTATTGCCGTGTAAATATCAGTAAGCAACCGGTTTCGATCAAACAGCGGCCTTTAAAGAGGTGGTGAAAATGAGATGCAGAAGCAAAGGCCCAGGTCTCACACTGACCCTCTTATCTCCCCCGCCTGGAGCCTGTGGAGAACACTTATCTGCATGGACAACGGAAAAAATCAATATTCAACAGTAGCTGTAAACAGTGGGCAGATTCAGGTTCATTTATAATTATTGGGAAGCTACGACACGGTACACACCTTGCTTTGATCCTGCACAAACACAGTGAAATGCCAGTCTTTTCTAATGGCTAATTAATGTTATAGAAACTGCAATAATGCTTTATGAAACAAGGTCAAATTTACATACATATTTCTAGTAATATTCAAATCCAACAGCAAAATCTTCTTCCGAGTGCGTAGATATTTGCATGTATTTTTGCATAGGTTTGCATGAATGCCCATTTCCATGAACATAGTAAGCATCGAGTTGTAGTAGTAAGCCAATTCCAAAGCACAGAAATGAAGCTATGAGATAAAAATCTAAATGTATGATCGAAAATTCTCCCTGTAGTCAACCACCCTTCTAAGAATAAGTTTATTTACCGCTATTGATAGATACAAACTTGTTCCTCATTCTCAAAACAGTTGGTTTTATCACAAGTCTACCTCATCTTTAGATCAGGTTATCCAGTAAGAAAAGTTAAAAAGGGGGACCGTCCTCACATCAGCTCTATGCCTAAAAAGTCCAATAGTGACTCACATGTATGAAAAATGTATCATACATTCTTATGGGATGAAGTCGTTGGTCCTCAGTTATTTTTTATTGTTTTATCTTTTTTTGATAAATTGTATATATTTGACAATAATATTAGTATCATTCTCATAATCATTGATAATTATTACACGGCTCTTCACAGCAGCTGTAGAACGCTCCATTGATTTGAATGTAATTTCAAAACGTTCTCATGAAGTTTGAAAGAGTTCTAGTTTGGAAGTTGCTAGCCTAACTGTTACTCGCATAGCCACGGGAAAACCTTTGGGAACTACTTTATTTGCAGTCATAAAATAAACCTTTCTGCATTCATAAAAGTGGTCTGAAGTTTATTTTGTGTGTTCTGTTGGTACAAAGCCGTATAATTAGCGGGAGAATGTATAGCAGGCAGGTCATTATCTGAAAATAAGTACCGAAGTACCAAAAATAAGTACCGACATGGCGAAGCAGACCCCGACGCCCTGTCAGTACTTATTTTCCGATAATGACCTGCCTATTATACATCAACTCTTACGTATTACTATTCAGATCTATAGAGTTTTATAGTTATGTCAAAAAGGCCATTTATGTGTATTTTCTGCTGTTTTGCTTGATTTATTTTCTACTGCCTGCTCCTGTGCAACACTCTGGAAACTGGTAAATAAAATGGATTGGAAGCCTGCATGTTGTGTACATATTTATGGAGGATTAAAAGATGTACAGTATTACTAAGGAGAACGTTTGGTCTCTACACAGCCTTCCTTATATTAGAACCAACAGCTGGGGTTGCAATGTTGCCAATATTGTTTGATATTATCTTCAAAGTACTACATGCCGTTTGTTCTTACATCTATGATTAGTAAGCAAATGAACCAAATGAGATCATGAGGCAAAGTTTTACTGCAATTATCTATGAGACAAAGAGCTGTGTGTGTGTGCAGATTAAAGCCAAGATTGCATTTCACTGCCTAAATGAGAAAACAAAGTCATTCAAGATACTAATGCAGTAATTATGTGCAGCAGGTAATACACACTTGGAATGGACCAGTTCCAAGTGAAAGACTAATAATAAAATGAAAAATCTCTAGACAAGTGGTTTTCAACTGGAAAGGCATCAAATCCCACCATAAACATTTTCCACAAATGGTTTTCGAAGCTTTAAATAATAATAATAACAATAATAATAATAATAATATGCATAGTTTGCATAATTTCCCTTTGTCTAAATAGGTTTCCTGAGGGTGCTCCGGTTTTTCCCCAAACCAGTAATAACAAAAAGCTCTCTTCAGGACCAGGACTCAACTGAACAAGAGATTCTGAAATTTCAGGCATACTTTCCTGGTTAAACAGGTAAATAAATACATTTAAAAATCAAGGGCACACATTTTATAAATAGACAATTCTTTCTATATGCCTTTTTTACACAGCAATAGATATATATTTGATAAATGTTGCCCTAGAATGGGAATACATAAAAAGCAATATCCCATTTTTGGGTCCTGACTATGGCCCCGACCCAACAGTTGAGAAAAGGCTCAAGTATTCTGACAGCCAAAGAAGCTATTTGCAGCTTTTGGGTCTTGCCATTTGTCCTTTTCTTATGATCTGGGAAGGATTTGCAGCCTGACAGAAAAACATAAACCCATTTGGTCTAATTCGGCAATGCTTGAGTTGCCACCACCCCGGCTCAGGTCAGCTGCGACTTTGATCAGGAGAAGCTTGCACTAATCCTTGTAGTTCCATTGTGGTTAAGACAGGGTTAAAACAGATCACCAGTGAAAGTATTCCCAAGCTCTGGCTGCCTCTTGAGCTACACTGCTGGGTAGTTTTTAATTTGGTCACAAGTCAAAATCCGGTAGTGCAGGACATCCTCTTACACAACAGGTCTCAGTATTTGCCATTCCTTTGTTTCGGGTTAGATAAAAACTTCTGTACATAAAGCATTTTTTTATTCTTCATGATATTTATACACAGGCTACATAGCTGCATATACCTAAGAGAAGGCACTTTCAATTGGGTTTCAGGAGTCAAATCATGGACCTTCTGGAAGCCTCCTTGTCACTATTAATGTACAACAATATATCAAAATGCAAGCTGTTGTCACAATATGTGTTAAAATGTTAAATATATTCTGCATACAGTTGAGAATGTCCAATTAGTGTTATCTGCATTTCTCTATAACTGTAGAATTTTACCGTCTGGGAGCAGTGTTTGGAAAAATCCTCCCCATGGCTTATCCCACAATCATGCACATGTTTTACTTTTTTTATATTATGTGGATGTCCTTGTATCATGTGACAAATAAATACATAAATTGATTGATACATGTCTGTGAATGTGAGTTACTTTTCAAACTAAAAATAAAAATCTTTGAGGTCTCTCGTCATTGATTCAACTTATCTCCTAGAGCAAATCTTACTGGTCATAGTTAAACCAAACGGTTTGATTATGATTGAATTTGACTTACTGTACATAATAGCAGAGTACTCTATGGTTAAAAATAGAATATAATTCAAGTTACTGACATCACCTTTAAACAATACATTTAAAACCACAAAACACCCTGTCAGACATCAACTCTTCCAAAGCGCTTTTGAACTACGCTGAATCTGACAAAACTGACGATGAAAGCGATGGCAACATCAATGCGCCAAGTTCAAACATGAATGAGCGCGCTGAAAGAATAAAAAGAGATGATTATTTCGGTGAAAAAAATCTCACCTGTTGTCGTCGTAGAAGCACTCGAGGAATTCCACTTTGAAACACTGGGCCTCCTGCTGAGATTCAAATCCAGGCGCGTAATAGTTCGCTTGTTTCCATTCTTGTCTATTACCTCAGTGTAGACCTTAGGATCGTCCACATTGTTAGAGATTTCGGTGTCTTTGTCTGACAATAACACAAGTCTGTGGTTGAGCTGGGGACTCGGCAGCTTGGAGGACAAAGGGGACATACTCTGGAGGCTGTTGGAGGCTGGGAATGACACGTTGAAGACCCCAGCGAGAGGAGAACAAGGACTCCTCTTTGCTTCGCTAGTGTACGAGAGTTGCAGAGACAGCTTCCGATTGTTGCCATCTCTTCTGTCTTGCCGACTGACACGCTGAACTTTTGCCTCCACATCTTGCACCTTTGCTTTTACCGTCACCCCCACGGTCTTCTGTGCGGTCGGTTTGACAGCCGGGTCGCAATCGGACTCGCTCAGGGAATCCAGCCTCCTGATGGGTCTGAGGTTGCTTCCGCTTTCCCTCCGATTCAAGCCGGCGATCAGGTTGCACGAGGACGACTGATATCCGAACTCGCCGTCGCATTCCGAAAAGTCGTTGCAAAAATCCACATCTGGGTCATAGTTTCGGTTGTCTTCCATGAAATCCATCCAGCGATCGGTCTGGAGGGTCTCGTCGGAGGGAAGAATGGGGTTGCTGGCCGCGCAGGAGCCGGTCACTGGACTCTCGGACGTTTCAGAACAGGAAGTGTCCACCTTTGCAGAAGCGACAACAGACACTCCATTCGTAACTTTTTGTTTCATCTTGTTCAGAAGCATCTCCTCCAACTTCTGGCCGCTCACCTTCTTGACCTTCTTACTTTTTGTCATCTCTTTCTTAAGCTCCGTTGCAATGGGGTTGTTTTTAATTAACCTCTGCCCTTCAAAGATCACTTCCTGCCCTTCTATGTAACCTTCAAGTTTCCCATCCTGATTTCCCATCCTGACCTTGTGCGTACAATCCTTGCACAAGGACAAAAACTCAACAAGCAAGTGATGGTGCTCCGTTGCCAGCCACAGCAGCTCTGCAACAGCCTCCTTTGTCGCCCGGTGAGAATGGCCGAGGACCAGTTCACTTGAGGAATCAGAAGACTGGCCTCTTTGTTTGGACACTCCAGGAACCTCCTTGCCCCGGTCATCGTGGTCCTTACTGGAGCTTTCCAACTGGGAGGTGCAGTTGGCGTACTTGAGGCCCGGGGCCCGCCTCTTGGGGAGATACCGGCTGACTTTGCTGCGCTCTTGAATGCGTGGGTAGAGGAGGAGTATGGTGTGAGTGCCTTCCATAATAGGGGACATTTTAGCTATGGGTATTGATTGGAGAGCTCAGGCTGCGGGTTGGCAAGCACACGAGCAAGAATGAGAAATCTTGGGTTTTTCATCACTGGGCCTGTTTGGAAACTGACACAGGGAAAGAGTGGAAGAGAGGATTTGTTAGACTTTGCAGACAAGATTGAGTCAATAAACAGTTGGGGCTGCTGGTGACGATTATTGACTGGGTGAGATATATGTTAAGTGGTATATATGGATGTAAAGATGATTAGGTTAATTGATAATGGTGATTAAACAGATCACAAAATAATCATACAAACTGATAAATTATCAATTGTGGTCATTTAAGAAAGAAAGAAACAACTATTTTCCAGATTTTTTTCCCAGTTCTATCACTGATTATCACAGACATGTACTTTTTTGCCTCTGTCACACTCTTAGATCAGCTTTTTCAAGTATATAAGTAAGAATACAGTTGAATTGGGTGTGGGAAAAAGTCTCTGCAATTCCTTTGGTTAGAATCAAAACAATATCATATGGAGAGTGAGCAGTAGATACAGGGGTAGATACACATTTAGAAATTAGATTTTTTTCTAACTTTTTTTTTTTGTCCTTATAGCCCTAATACAGCAATATAAAAGTCACATAAACACATTATGCCTGTCAGAACAAATTCAGACCAGACCTGAACTGACCGATAGACCTAATTCAATGGATAAATACATAGTGGTGAAGGAAAAGAAGTATTGAAATTTCTTCAAAGAACGTTGGATTAACGATTTTCTAAGTTTCATGACGTGTTAAAATAAATCTACATTTTACATCCAGGCACCTTTAACCGCAAAATATATATGTCTTTGCACATTATATAATATTGAGTATCACCTTTTCACCAACCACGCTGATGGTACTGCATGTATGTGCATAACATACAGACTATAACATCCCACTGTTAGAAACCTCACTATGCATTTCTCAAGTTGGCCTTTACCTACGCATGTTTGTATGTTGACATCAAAACAAAATCCCGTTTGTTACCGTCACCTTGCAATAAACCAGGGGCTAGAACTGTCTGAAGCACCATGAACCATCCATATCCAAACAAGTCACGCAATCAACTATTTACAATGGTACAGTTGGGAACACAGCCACATACAGGCGCAGATCTAATACATAATTTAATGCAAAATCCGCGCAGGCTTCTCTCTACTCCCGATACGTAGACACCCGAAAGGCATTGCATGACGTAGCCGCTGAAATGAGTGGTAAAAGATAAATATTGACTCACTGTGGGCAGTTGCATGAAGATGATGCTTCTCGTGTGTGCTCCTGCAGCCGATCACCGCTGCTGCTGGGCCGGGACATTGCTCTTTGATTGACACGCGTTCTGGCCAATCACAGACCTCTCCTCGTCTTTACATTCTGGAGCCTTTGCAGCTGCCGCGCGCAGGTAGGGCACGTGCATTTCTGTCTTCTCAGGGAAATGCTGAGAGTTGCTGGACGAAAAAACATGTTTATAGTGCAAGACTGTGAGATGCGTGATGTCATTTACAAAAGTAAAAAGGCCAGGGTGCTGCTAAAGCTCACTTTCCATGACAGTTTTGGTGGAGACGAGAGACCTCTAGCGGCGGAGACGTGAATTGGACAGTACTACAGGAGGGTGAGAATCATCTCCACTAGAGGGCAGCATGGTATCAAGAGTATTATCTGTTTTATTTCTTATCATTCTTTTTTTATTTTTTTTCCAACTTGGTTTTGTCAAAATTCAATATAAGCTAGGTTTTACTTGGCTTAACTTTACAATTATCTATTTGATTTACTGTCTTCTTTACTTTTTTTAAGTATTATTGTGGACTTATCTTTTTTCTGTGTGCTCATTCCTACGGTTCTGTAACTGGTGATGCAACACTGACATTTCCCCATCGTGGGACGAAGTAAGGATCTCTTGATTTTCAAGATTAACAACTACAGATGTGGGTCAGCTTTTTTGTACATCAACATTTCAGATCAGTATTAGCAATATTTTAGATAAGTCTATGTTATTTATTTTAGAAAGGTGTTTGTTTTATGTTCAAAATGCATGTATAATGTTGTTACATTACATATTGGAGGCAGTATCCAGTTCCCAAAGAGCCGTCAATCTCAAGCGTAACTGTGGTATTTTTGGTGGTATTTTTGTGTGAGGCGTGCGTTGGCCAGAGCTCTCCATGGTGCTGATTTGGACAAACTCACAAAAAGCAAACACTGAGAAGTCTGAAGCAGTGACTCACTAGTATGAGGTAAATGGCACCTCTCATGTATATGTACATTTCCGTTCAGACGAACGAATAAAGCTGATCTTATCTTTGATTGGATGAAAAAAACCTCTATGCATATTCACAGAACTGTTCCTTAACAGTGGTACATGAATGTAAACAGTGATACGTGCGTGTGAACGGTGGTATGTGCATGTGAACAGTGGTACGTGCATTTGAACAGTGGTCCCTAACAGTGGTACGTGCATGTGAACCGTGTTACGAGCCTGTGGATAGTGGTACGTGCATGTGAACAGTGGTACGTGCATGTGCACAGTGATACGTGCATGTGAACAGTGGGACGTGCATTTAAATAGTGGTACGTGCATGTGAACAGTGGTACATGCATGTGACTGTGGTGCGTGCATGTGAACAGTGGTACATGCATGTGTACTGTGGTACGTGCACGTGGACAGTGGTACGTGCATGTGAACAGTGGTACGTGCATGTAACCAGTGGTACGTGCATTTGAACAGTGATTCGTGCATGTGAACAGTGGTACGTGCATGTGAACAGTGGGACGTGCATTTAAATAGTGGTACGTGCATGAGCACAGTGGTACATGCATGTGACTGTGGTGCGTGCATGTGAACAGTGGTACGTGCATGTAACCAGTGGTACGTGCATGTAACCAGTGGTACGTGCATTTGAACAGTGATTCGTGCATGTGAACAATGGTACGTGCATGGGGAGAGAGGCGCGTCCCTTGCTGCACGTGTCAGATGTGGCTGTGACGTCGCGGGTCCAGAGCGCGTGCAGCGGCTGCCCCTCACTGCTCAGTTCAGGAGTCCACAGATGCGGACACACCGTGCTCCTCTCCGGGCCGGTCCTGAGCGCTGATCAGCGGCTCTGGAGAGACACATGCTGCGGTCCTGTGCCCGCTCTACAGCCGTTTATTAGCTTTATGCTAATAGCGACTGGAGCGAGGAGCCAGAGGAGGCTTCCCGAGTCTGAGCAGCCTCCTTCGCAGCCATGGCTGAAGGAGGAGAGGGAGAGGATGAGATCCAGTTCCTCAGGACTGTAAGTACACCTCATGGCACTCCGCCGCTCCAAGAGAAAGAGTCTTTTGAACCTCATGTTTGAGGCACAGCTGTCTTTGTACAGTGCTTTCCTCGCGTTGCTTCATTCCGTGCCCAGTGAGAATAACCCGGTGTTTCTTGTGTATCTTAGAGAAGCAGCGTATTGCTCCATTGTTTTGCGCATCAGAAAGCAGACAGCTATTGTCTATTCTGCAGTCTCTTGCTCTCAAAGTTTAAATACTTTTACGGAAATGTAAAACTTAAGCTGCATGCACATTTACAACAACAATATAGTCACAAGGCAGTTCACGTTCTGTATTTGATGCAGCATTAACCACATCTGCAAAAATAACGTATTTTAGTTCCACGAATCCAACCAATAGTTCCATCTAAATAATACAGGGAAAAGACAACATTCACAAGAATCTCTGCATTTAAGAAGAGACTGTAAGGCTTGTACTCTATGAAGCATCTCTTTTTCTGTATTTGTGAAAAAGGACGATGAGCGTTTTAGCCTGTGGAGCTGTTACTGACAGAGATAGATGGTGACACTTATGCTCAGAGATGGAGAAGCGCTTGCACACATTCAAATCAAAGCTGCAAATGCATGTGTGGAATAGATGAGGTCTTCCAGAGAGACCCTCAGACACAGGGGGTGTTTGGCTGCAACGCTGACTCTGCTCCCTCTATATTGAGCTGATCATATGCCCAGACTGTAAGCCTATAGGTGTATATTGTTGCATTAAAGCTATAGCATAAGGTTGTGCACTGACCTCATGGCATTTCTACATTTCCTGCAGCTATTTGCAGCTCTTAAGGTCAACGTTTCAAGTGTGTAACAGTTGTCTTTTTGGTTTTCAGACCAATGAAAGTGCTGATATGTTGTTTAACTTCACAATCGTATAGAAACGCTTCAAAACACAGCCAAAATAAGCAGCGAGCAACAGGCTGGAGATAGGAAAATCACACAGAGATGCATGCTGGGTTGTGTGCTCCCAGAGTGCTTTGTGCAACGGTTGTGATATTCAAAACATGCTTTCACTTTTCCTTTACTGTCAATTAGTCCCTTTCAGCACAAACCTTTTAGACATAGAGGTCACCAGATCAGTATGGCTCCGGCTCCAAAAGCAGAGCTGACATTTTCTCCCTGCATCGCTGTTTTATGCTGGGACCAAAATGCTACCAATTCATAACCCAAATATGACTAAAAGGATGCAGAAAGATGAGGATTATTGCTTTCCGCTTACATGACTTCTGGGCGTTCTTTCCACCTTGATGACTGGGGAGAAGTCAGAAAGTGCTGTTGCTTTTTTGGGATTTTAGCAGCTTGTTGCATCCGTTCACACCGGGAGGCAGCTGTCACAAGTGCAGAGCAGTGTGTGTGTCTGTGTGTGTGGTTTGAATGCAGATCCAGTTTTTGTCGTGTGGTGCAGTCAGCCTCCACCAGACATGCCACGGCTATTGACTGTAGAGGTCAGAGCAGAAATGATTAAATCGGCAACAAGACTGGAATGACCATGATTATTTTTTTTACGATAGGCTCCAAATATTGTAATATATATCATGGAAATTACTGTGACAATATTGTGAAATTAATGCAATAATAAGCCAGTAATTTACAGGTGTTGACAAAATGAACAATTCCTGTTCATTCATACAATATATTAGTTCCATTATATAAACAGTTGTGTGTACTTTTCCCTGGAGTGCTTTGCGTTCGCTGTTTGCTGCTCTGTTGGCAGAATACAGACCTAATGCATTTTTAATGACATTTTTACAAAAAGGTCAAATGGAAATTATCCATCCATCCATTTTCTTCCCCTTAATCCATTTCTGGGTCGGGGACAGTCCGAGCTGCACCCAGTACACAGGGCACCAGCCCCTCATTGATCCTCCTGCAGGTGGTGAGTCCACAGGAGCTGAGATCTTTCAGCAGGGGCTTTAGGCAAAGTGGGGTTAAGTGTCTTGCCCAGGGACACAACGACAGCAGTCATCAGTGGGAGTCGTGAAGTAGGTCTCACAGTGGGCTCGAACCCACGACCTTCAGGCCCAAAGGCTGATGCTCTACCAACTGAGCTACTGTCGGAAATTATTATTATAGTAAATTCTTCTTTGGCAGGCTTAATGTGTATGGAAATTATGAAGAAAATGTAAATATATAAATGAATTAAGGTCAACATGGCATTTCCGTTTGTATAAAAAGCTGCAAGCAAAGGCACACAGTGAAATCTTGCATAGTGTATTGACAAATCTTGCATTGAGTACTTAGAGATAGGGTTCTGATATGCTTTTTATATAGTCCTTCTAGTTTTATCCTTTATAGAGCTTAAGAATTTAATATTTAAGTTAAAAGTCACAAGTGCACCTTGTATTCTTACTGTGTAATGCTTCACAGAAATCTACTTTCTATGGAAAAAGGTTCTTTTGTCTCAAGAAGTCAAACTGTTACAATATACAAAGTGAGATTTATCATGCATTGTTTTTGGCATTGAAAATGATAATGAGACTATTTACTTTACCCTTGATAAGTATCAAGGGTATAATGATGAGGGAAATTGGGAAATTCCCAAAAACGTTATGGTTCACCAGAAAACTGCTCTGAGCGTGATACAATTACATCATACTATTAAAGGACTGAGAGAAGAGCTTTTAGTCAGAAAGTTTTTGTGCCAAAAAATTTGTGTGAATAAAAAAACAACTCCAAGTCTGCTTTTGATGCAAGAACAATGTTGCAGAATTGCATACAATTTTTCCTTTAAAATATACAATTTGGAGGACAATACTTGTTTGTGCTTTTATAAGAATTGTATCTGGATATGATCTGCATCTCACTGGCCTCCAAATGTTGCCTGGTGTTCGAGCTGCGGAGCCTGATAAAGAAGTTCACAAACTGCCTTTCTCTAACAACACAAAGTAATTTCCCTGGAGTGGCGGCAGAATTACCCCTGTCGGACTGCTGCCTATAAAGCCGGTTGAGTGGGAGGAGGTTGAGGGGGGTATGCATATCTCAGCCATGCCTAATTTGATGCTACAAGGAGAGGAACTGTGCTGGTTCTGAGCCAGAAGATTGGGAGAAAAGCCCAAGGCTCTTAAACTCATGGCTGCTGTTTTAAAGCTGTCGATGTTTGAAGGAGTGCTCGCTGTTTCATTAGGTGCAAAAGCAGTTTTATATAATTGAGCATAGATTTGATTATGGTTCACATGGTTCTATTTCAGTTGCAGCTGTGGTGGGTTAGGCCACATAGCTTGGCTTTTATCAATGCTATATATAAAATAAGTGTGAGCAATAATGACACAAAGGAATTTATCAAATGCTTCTGGGATTCCTCCTCAAGTTTGGAAGAAGAGAGGAAGAGAAAGCAGAGGAGAAGAGGGAGCAAAGGAGAGGAGAGAGCAGAGGAGAAGACAGGGCAGAAGAGAGGAGAGGTGAGAGACGAGAGGACTGGAAGGAGAAAGGAAAGAGTATAGGAGAAAATAGGAGTTGAGGATAAGAGAGGGAGGAGAGTAGAGGAGAGGAGGGGCAAGGAGAGGGGAGGAGTAGAGGATAGGAGAGGCGAGGAGGGGTCGGCAGACTAGAGGAGAGGAGAGGGGGAGACAGAAGGGGGGGAGAGAGGCAGCGAGAGAGGAGGAGAAAAGCAGAGTAGAGGATATAGAGGAGAGGAAGGTAGAGGATGGGAGGGGCGAGGGGAGGGGAGGAGGGGCGAGGGCCAGTCCCTGTGCTCTCAGCAGGTTCATATGTCACCAGAATATCACACATAAGAGACCATCAACGGAGTAGACCAAATACCAAATAGTCCCAGTTGTAGCTCTGAAACAGTTGTTGTTTTGTGCTTTGCAATTGTTATCTTTCTTGATTTTGCTGAAATGTTGTTGCAGTACAGTGTTTTTTGCACTGGTCCAGATCAGAGCGGAGAAGATTCATGGTCCGAAACAAGCGGATCAGGCAAAATCCACTGAAGGAATGCAATTTTTTTGAAAAATGCTAACAAAGGGTGAAGCATCTCACTTTGGACCAGAGCAGAGAAAATGGTCCTAACGACAACTCCACCTCTGCTGCCATCTATTGAATTGAAAAAAATATTTCAAAACCTGCACAAGAAACACATTTTTACAAATCTTCAGACACACATATATACTACTGCATACACATGCACTGTATGTATTACTATCCATATCTCTATCTATCTATCTACTGTAGGAACACCTCTGGAACCATAACTACGTTTTTATAATTTACCAAAAACCTCACAATGATTACTAAATTTACTTTTTACTTATAACGCTACAGCCTCTCTGCTGCTGTTGACCTAAAGTGCTGTTGCATTCATATTGTTAGCAACTTTTAGAATTATGTATACATTTGTTTTGGATGGATAGATGTGTTTCCTGGATGGACACCTGAATTTCTCTTATGGGGATCAATAAAGTACTTATCTATCCATCCATCCATCCATCCAACCATCTATCTCTATCTAAATACAAACTGTCCATCCATGCCGCTGCTTCCAGGACAGCTGAGGTTTGATTTCAGTGAAATATGAGCAGTTTGAGTAGGAGTAGTGACTTTGAAAAGGCCAGACCGGAGCTGTGACTAATGCGTTGTGGCTTGTTTATCTGAAGCTGGTTTGCATTCAAGGTATAAGTGCAAACCACAAAGTGAAATCCCCACATGTGAGCAGCAGCTTCAATGCTTCCATTTTGGTGAAGAGCAGTGCGGCGGTGACATCAATGGCCCCGCTCTCTGCGCCTCCTCACCACGCCGAGATCGTTCCTCGCGCTACTGGGTGCCTCTTTTTGTTCTTTGTGCGTTGTTTTTTTGCCCTAGATTTGCTTTCCTCTTATACCATCGTTGTGTAGACTGTCAAAGCAGTTTGCACGCTGAATACAATTTGCGGCAACGATCAGATAATGTCATTAGTGCCATGTTTTGACGAAAGAGTGACTGACAGCTCGAGTGAATTTGTGTGTTTTCTGTGACACCTGAGAGTGTTTATCAATGTTGATG